GATACAATAACACGCCAAACAAATATTAATTTAGAAGTCAAACAAAAAGAAATCAGAGTTATATTTTCAAATTTCTCAGGACTAGTTTCGACAGTTTTACCGAACCATCATTCTCAGCTGCAAAAGCGCAAATGAACGAGATAAGATATAATGATAATCTAAGAAAGCCTGTACAGGAAATAAAATACTGGCGCCATCTGTTGATGAAACTAGAACTAAAACATAATTTCTTTAAAGGCTGAAGGCAAGACGGATTGGAATTAGGATCGTTAACTAGAACAGAAAGAATTTTTTTGAATGTGAAATGCCTCTAGAAAATCCAGTTCACCAATGGAAGATGTTGTTTGAATAATTGTGGCAGCAAAAAACAGAAAGTGGAATTTTCGGACCAACAATGTTGGGCAGTAGAAGGCTTCTGTGTTTCCTTTTTTCTAACATCAAATCTAATCAAAAACATTTCAGTCGCGTTTCATGAATTCTGTTAAACTGCAAGCTAGCCTTACTTCGGTGCATCATAAGGGATACACGTCAACAGTTGTCCAAAATTAAACATGAGCTCTATAAGCTTCATCTGGAACTCTCTAATTCATACCTAAAATTCACTGCCCTTGAACAAAAGTCTTTGTCCAGAACGGTGAATGCAGTTAAATTCGAAAATTTTCTTTTACAGTCTTCCAGTTCAAGTAGTTAAAAAAAAAATCTTCCCATTGTAAACATTAAGCCAATAGTTGATATTTCTAATGTTAGTTTATCAGAAGAACAAGAGAGAATTCTAAAATATCAGTAAAGTTTCAGATTCACAGAAAGAAATGATTAGGCATCTTATCGCTGATAATGTGAAATTCAATATTAAACCTTTGAAACCAAATCTAAACGCGAGAAAAAGAGCTACAATGCGCGTAATTCATTCTAACCCCGGACATTATCATTTCAAAGGCCGAGAAAGGTGGCCAGATAGTCGTCATGGATAAGAACACATACATCGATGGCGTCACTAAACTCTTAAACGAAGGACCATATAATCCGATCCCTAAAGATCCTTCACCTTCGGACTTATCCAAAAAATAAACTGCGATCAAATCTTCGCAAATCATTTCAAGCAACTTAAAACATTCGCTTATCCCATCTGTTGCGAATTGTGCCAGATTATATGCTCTTCCCAAAATTCATAAAAGTGGTATTCCTTTCCGCCTATTGTATCAAATTTAGGTACTGCCTCGTATCCATTAGCTAAAGTTTAGTTTCTAGATTTTCCACTCTATTAGACAATAACATTTACACCATAAAAAATTCAATAGAGTTTGTAAAAAAGGTTAAAAACATTTCTCCTAGTAATTTACTCAAATCATTCCTAGAAATTCTTTGATGTAAAATCATTATTCACCAATGTCCCAGTGGAGGGTGCATTAAGATGTCTAGAAACCAGACTTCGCGAATTTCATTTCCTCTTGCATCGAAATTGATGAGCTAATTTCTCTCACTCAACTCTGTTTGAAACAAACACATTTTGTTTTCCAAAATAAATATTACAAGCAAACTGAGGGATTAGCCATGGGAAGCCCCCTCAGTCCCATCCTGGCTGATATCTACTTGCATTATTATGAATCAAAATTGTTTGAAACTTTCAACAATGAATTCTATTGATCTTGCTATTCAGTCACTTTTGAACTTGCAATTCTCTTCCGTTTCTCGACATTCTGGTCACACGTAACACATCCAACTTCAGTACTACAGTTTACCGTAAACCTTCATCGGTTTGCCTTCCACCACACTTTAAATCATGTCATCCGACTAAACAAAAGTTAGCTTCATTTTATTCCTATGTTTTCCGTGCTCTTCAAGTTTGCTCCTCCAAACTAGCCCTTGATGAAGAACTAAATTATTTAAAAGCAATAGCTATTGACAGGGGCTTTTCACCCAACATTATTAATCAAGCAGTTAAAAAATTCTCATCTCAACACACTAAAAGCCACACTCTTATTTTAGGAGATTATAAAAATTATGTTGTTATTCCCTTCTTTCCATCAATTACCTATAAATATATTTTTCAGAAATATTTTTCAAAAATTTATAAATATATTATTATTAACACATATTTTTCAGAAATTTAACTTTCGGGTCGTTTATTCTCCTATCAATAAAGTTCCGACTTCTATACTCAAGGACCCCATTCCGGATATGAATTTCCTGGGTATTTATAGGATTTCCTTGCCAGTGTGGTTTAATTTACATTGGCCAAACTAAGAGAGCATTAAAATTTTGCATTAAGGAATATGAGGAACATGTTAGAAAAAAGGAAACACAGGAGTCTTCTGTTGCCCAACATTGTTGGTCCGAAAATCACACTTTCAATTTTTCTGCTGCCAAAATTATTCAAAAATCATCTTCCATTGTTGAACTGGATTTTCTAGAGGCATTTCACATTCAAAAATATTCTTTCTGTTCTAGTTAACGACCCTAATTCCAAACCATCTTTGCCTTCAGGCTTTAAAGAAATTATGTTTTAGTTCTGGTTTTATCAACAGGTGGCGCCAGTAGCTGATCTCCTGTCCAGGCTTTCTGAGCTTATCATTATATCTTATCTTGTTCATTTGCGCTTTTGCAGCTGAGGATCGGTAAAACCATCGAAACTAGTCCTGTGGAATTTTAAAATATAACGCTGATTTGTTTTTTGTTGTTTGACTTCTAAATTAAACAAATGAGAGTTAGGTTGCAGAATTGCAGAGACGTTTTAGAGTTGAGGAAACCAGGGCACAATTGACTCGTTGCCTTTACCGGGATTTTAACTATTGATATTCTATATGTTTTCTGAGCCTTCAAATCACTTGCATCACTTACATGGGAGAATGTGCTACGTATTGAACGTTTGTCAGAGCAGAAAATTTTAGTCAACTAAATTTGATTTCGCTTTGAACATGACCGAGTTTCCTAACAAAGTAAAAGTTTAAAAATGACAAAAACAAGCAAAAGCAAAATAATTATTACTATGAGTTTACTGTATAAGGTATTTCTCCCACTTCCGTAGCCTGCCATCAAACGGTAGCACGCTGGGCCGGTATTCCAGAGGTCCGTGGTTCGATTCCCGGCGAAGGCGGTTGCATATTTTTCAACTTTTCTGCTTTTAGTTTAACCTAATGACTCTACAAGTGGCGCCCGAACTAAAAGAGTTGTGGATGACGATTCACCGCAACCAGGATTTGGCGACTAGGTCCCCTAAAACCCTAGTCGCCCTTTAAAAAGGGGAGTATATAAGGTATTTCTCCCACTTCCCTAGCGTTCCCTCGTGGTGTAATGGTAACACGCTGGGCCGGTATTCCAGAGGTCCGTGGTTCGATTCCCGGCGAAGGCGATTGCTCATTTTTCATGTTGCCTGCTTCCAAAAATCCTAATGTCTCTACAACTTATCTTTCTACAGCATTCGATTAAACTGAAGTTTAAATTAAATAATGAATTAAAAATCATCAAAATAAAATGCCTACCAAAAGACAAAATCTAGTTCGAAAGCATGTCAACTGAAAATGCATAAACGAGTGGTAATGGTTTGTAGAAACATAATTGTCTAAAACAAGGGACTTAGCTTTTTTGTTATTTTCTTTTGGTGTAAACGACAACAAGAAAAGTAAAATTTAAGTGCAATTCACGAACAGGTGGCATTCACAAAATTTCCTTGGCGGATTTACGCACATGAAGCTCACAATAAAAGATCTGAGTGGTTAGATATGACTTCAGTGTCAGTTTTATTTACGACTCTATCCAATTGCGCGAGAGTACCAGTTAGGTCTTCCTTGTTACAGAAACTGAGAAATAAATACTATTCATCAGCAGCTCGTTAACTCTCTTCCGACGTTATTTTCAGCTGTGAAGTTTGCTGTAACTCCTGTGCGTTCTATCACATGTTGCAATGAAGGTCACAATTAATTCTTGGCGAAGCAAAATCTGAACAAATTGTATCCCTTTTATTTCTCTTCTGAATATTGAAAGCTTCCGCATCACTGAAGTGTCATATTTTTATTCATTGATTTATTTATTTGATCATTAAAATATTAATATGTTACAACACATTTCTATCAATATTTATTCTTTTTTGTGATTTTATGAGAAAACCTTAATAGTAGACCTTTTACTGATAGGCGACGATGGATTTTATTGATTTTCTTGCCCAATAATACATTCCATGTTTCAATTATTGAATTAAATTCTTCAGACTTCAATTACTTGAGGAATTTATAGCATATATCTTCAGTTTGGTTTGAGATAGGTCGGCCAAAATATTATTAGAGCATTAAAATTTCTCATCAAGAAATACGACCTTATGTCCGAAAAGGCGAAACTAACAAATCTTCGACAGCTAATTAAAGTTGGAAATTTAATCATAATTTAGACTATGGGTCTGCACAAATTTTCCAAACAGCTTCTTCTATATGGTGAATTGGATTTTCTTGAAGCTTTTTCCCATTCGTAAAAAAATTATCTTGTTTAGTTAATGAATTTGATAACCTATCCAATCCTTTCTAATGCCTTCATATTTCTGTCAAAATAACTAAAAAATTTTCCTTACTATTTCAGGGGACAGATGGCGCTATTTTCTGTTTCTCATTACTCCTTTTGTGTATAAATACAACCGTGACGTTCCCTTCATTACAGATTTCATTGCTCCTGACTAAGAGCAACTTGTACTTGTTTTCCTCGAAATTGGTAGTGTCTTGACTAAAATATACGCCAATGCAGTGTTAAGTTTATGTTTTACTTCAGCGTGTTTCTCTTCAGTCTTAAGAGTGGCTCATACCTATTAACCTGATATATTGAAAGAGCATCACAAAAAATATCATTAAAGTGTCATTAACATTTATGGCACAATTGCCTGTGATAAATCTAAGTACGAGTGGGTTTTTTTATGCGTTAATTTTCTAAACAGAATCGACTTAGCATTCAGGAAAAAATAAAAAATTGCTTTCAAGAGACATTTGACGGAGGGTTAATAAAGCAGCAATTTTACTTACCTAAAACTTGAAGAGAAATAATTTTACTCAGGCCGGCAGCAATACCGTTAGTTGCTTGACATAAATAAGCACCAGCATCATTTTCTTCAACGTCAGATAATACTAGGGTTCCATTGTTATACCTGTGAGCCCGAGGATTTGAGTGTACATATGTGAAGTCTCCAGTACTACTTTCTAATTAAAAAATAGAAAAGATTAATTTTAAGGAAAGTCATCCAATTTGAAAGCAACAAAAATTATTTTACCAAAAACATATAACTATATTTTAAATATTTAGATCAATTTATAAAATGTGATTCATAACTGTGAATATATTTATTAGCAATATATAAGGTATATAATGTTCTATTACACATTACACAATCAAAACACTTATGTTGAATCAGTATCTAATAAAAAAGTAATAAACATTTAATGTATTTAACATTTAGCTTCATAAAAACAACGAGAATTAATGTTTCATTTATTTCCTTTGAATGTAATAACAACATTTGACTGGGATTTAGCTGATTCAATCACATTCATTAAGAAAAGTTTTATTTCATGTCGGTGGACAGCTAATCAGTTTTATATTCGACTCAGTATTTTTTCTCTTTCGTTATCAGTAAATGGTTTTTAAAAAAACGGCTTTCTCATAAATAGCCATGTCGAAAAGAAGTTAAAAGGCGAAGAATTAAGCAATTAATTGACTAATTAATAAACTGAGATATAAAAGCACTAAATCGAATTTCTAATTACTTTTCTGCTTCGGAATGTTTTCTTCTTTTTCTAGCATAAGATAAGCACACGAGGGGAAGATAACAATTCTTTACATATAATCTGGAGCTTTTAAAAGAAAATGCTTAGCGAAGATTTAATTCATAAATAGAAAAATCAGCTACAGAGATTAAAACGCATTTAAAAATAAAGACTAATAAATACCATTTTTCCACACATAAAAGTTTAAACAAACTAGAGGACTTCCTATAGTAGGCAATAAATGTGCATATATACAGGGTGCTTAAACAGTTAGTTTATAAACATAAGAGGACTGACAGTACCCATTAAAATAAACAATATTTACAATAAAAAGTAGGGCAACATTGGATTTTGAGTGTCAGAAAACCTGAAGTTAAATGTCCGGCTTGAAATTTCTACGGTGAGAAAAAGAACATTAACGAAAAAGTAAGTTATACAATCTCATTCCTATTAGAGAAATATTCAAGTTAAATGTTCAGAGTGGCGTCTATGGGTGGTTTTGTACAGATTACACTGGCGAATCAAAGACTGGCGCATCTTCTCTTATGTTTAGTATCTTTTGGTATTATGTTTATAACGTCTGCTGTAACAACGATTCTCAAAATGAGATCTTTCTTGGAGTCCAATGATTTCATGTTCCCCCAGACAAGTCCAAGAGATTTAGACACCAGAACATTGATTAGCCGCATTCAATCCATCGTCCGGAATATTTGGCATTCCAGAAGTGTTCCGGACTGAGGTGACAAAGTGTGTCGGGGCTTCAACACGCATAAATCACATATCCATGTGTGTTGAACGGAGTAGCGTGCAAGAAGCAGCGAAGCGCTTGTTCCAGGAATCCCCGGTACGTTGCACACATCAGACGTTGTGACACTTGATATAGCCAAGGATCCACCAAGGATATTTGCCCAGAAATTCACAGCCGATCTCTGCCGGCATGTGCAAAGGCTGTAATATGGTGAATGTTTGTATCTCAGCCGTGTTCATTGTGATTGTTGAAAACAGTTTTCCATGTAAATAGGCTTCATCACCGAATAACACTAAGACAGAAGACTGCGAATTGTTAGCTTTCATCTGAAACATCCACTTCGCAAGCTCCAGGCAATGATTTAATGATTGGGAACTGCATTTAACGATTGAGAATTCTTAATTTGAAAGGGATTCCTACATACCTCATGTCTTATAGTATTATTGTGATAAATATCAATGTCGGACGCCATCGCTTGCGTGCTTGTAGCAGAAGACGCTGCGAGGATATTTAAGACAGTCTCTTCCATTTCCAGCATCCACACGCTTTGCTCACGTTCTCTTTGAGTTCACGAAAGAAGCCTGTTATATGCAGTCTTAAATCAATACTAGTGAAAGTAAAGTGGTATGGAATACGGTGTGACAGAAATTAGTTACTGGACTGGATTCCAGTCCAGATTATTTAAGATATCCCTGGGAATTTGAATTCCGGTCTTGCAGAACAGAGTTATTTAATTCACAAAATATTACACATTTTCAAATTTGTCTCATAGTTTCATGACAATCACTTAGAGTGTTACAGTTTCAAAAAATGATGGGTTCGGCTGATTTTCTATCAAAATTTGACAGCTGCAGTTGTCATCATGCTATTTTCACTGTCCGTTTACATTCAATAAATGCTTTACAGTGATGATCTGGAGACGTTACTTCACCGGCAGAACAAAAATTAGGACTTTTTTTTTTTTTTTTTTTTTTTTTTTTTTTTTTTTTTTTACTAATTACTTAAAGATCTACTTAGAGGGTAAGAAACTATTTTCTGATACTCTGAGTGAAATGCAGACCTAGGTTCCACTGTAAATATTGTGTCCGGACCCTCTGAGTGGAATGCGGTCCTAGCTTCTATTGCAAACATTATTCATTGGTGGTGGGTATTATCACTATTCTTATTTTGTTGCCACCGTTTACACCTGGCACAGTACACGACTGTATATCAGTTAGAATGAACAACATTAGTCTCAAGCAAACATTCATATATGAAAGATACTATAAATAAAATGTTGCATTGTTTTTCATTTCCTGCAGATATTTTTACTTTATATTATATTTTTAATCAGAGTTAGGAATTTCGATGTTTTATTCTAGATTTTTATTTTAGATATTTGAGCTGCGTAGCTGAATTACATTTCTTTAAATAATTATTTAAAATTTTTATTTATTCATTTCTATAGTGGACTTTAAGTATATTTATTCATATAAACGTTTTCTTTTAGTTTGATCTTGTTTATTTGAATTTCATTTCTTTCAAAAGAATACTATGCGATATTGTTTACCATAAAATGGATTTTAAAACTGCATATATTAAACGGGAAAATACAATAAACCGCGGTTAATATATTTTTCAATATTCCATTCCAAAAAAGCAATTTAAGTAAGGAAAATATATAATCAACGTTTTAAATTACAATGGTATGCATGCACACAATTAAAAAAATGATGCTGCGATTTTTACAAAACCTGGTATTTTGGCATAATTTCAGGCGTGATCGAAAAAAACTACGCATGTCATTTAAAAAAAATGAGATTTTTATGTTAAATGAAGATATGTTAGATCACCGCTATATATAAATCTAATATATATGTAACATAACTAATATAAGTTGCGCTTTCGTGATATGAAAAACCAAAATGAATTTTGTCAATCGGCTGATTGGAACGAAAGATGGAGGTTAAATTTGAACAAGAGGGCAAAACTTTAGGGGCGATCTTGGCCACCAAGATCACCGGACCTCTAGTGTTTGGACTTTTTCTTGTGGGGTCATATGAAAAGCATAATCTACGAGTGCCGCATTGAAATCAATATGGATCTAGTCGTCAGGATCGCCTTTGTTGCCAACGATATTCGGGAAATACCTGGTGTCTTCGCTTCGCAAATGTACGTCAATTCCTATTCCGCAGGTATCAAGCCTGCATTACAGCTAGCGGAAGATCTTTTGAGCAATTTTTATGAGCATATTCTGTTAATAAAATGCTTTCTGAAGCATATCCTCTAGTTCTTGTGTTCATTCTTTAAACGTGACATGGAAAACTAGGCTTTAAGTTCTCACCACTTGCGTTCCGACCATACATTTTGTGACAAATATTTCTCTTATTGCTTCTCTCTGTCATCCCCTAAAGTTTTGCCCACTTGTTCAGATTCACCCTGTATAGAATTATACCAATCGTTTTTGTCTCGGTTTATCTATTTGATGTGAAACCTCGGAAATCTGCAGTTTACGAAGAAAACAGAAAAGTTCTTTTTTCCGAATTTGTAGATTTTGCGCTTAAATCAATAATTCTAGTCAGATAATTCTAGTCAGATTTTGCGCTTAAATCAATAATTCTAGTCAGATAATTCGTCTTGCGTCATGGAAATTCTACTATTTTGCGCTTAAATCAATAATTCTAGTCAGATAATTCTAGTCAGATTTTGCGCTTAAATCAATAATTCTAGTCAGATAATTCTAGTCAGATTTTGCGCTTAAATCAATAATTCTAGTCGATAATTCTCAGATTTTGCGCTTAAATCAATAATTCTAGTCAGATAATTCTAGTCAGATTTTGCGCTTAAATCAATAATTCTAGTCAGATAATTCTAGTCAGATTTTGCGCTTAAATCAATAATTCTTCAGTTCTATCAGATTTTCTCTAGTCAGATTTTGCTAAATCATAATCCTAGTCAGATAATTCTAGTCAATTTGCGTTTTAGTCAGATAATTCTAGTCAGATTTTGCGCTTTAATTCGATAATTCTATCAGATTCTTAAATCAATAATTCAGTCAGATAATTCTATCAGATTTTGCGTCAGATTCTAGTCAGATTTGCTTAAATCTATTTAGTCAGATCTAGTCAGATATCAATAATCTAGTCAGAAATTCCAGAGAAATCCTTAAATCATTCTAGTCAGATAATTCTAGTCAGTCAATTTGCGCTTAAATTCGCTTAGTTTTTGCGCTTAATTCTAGTCAGATAATTCTAGTCAGATTTTGCGCTTAAATCAATAATTCTAGTCAGATAAATGGTAGTTTAGCAAATTGTATTCTCCTAATCAGTTAGCTGGCTGACTATTCGCAGCTTTACAGTATATCAAACCCAAGTGGAGGAAACTCTATCATTGCAGTCTTTCAAGAGAAAATCATGTATAAAGAGTAAAACATGTAAATATTGAGAAAAAGATGTCAATATCACGAAATGATGAAGCCGATGTTATCCAACAGTGACGGGATTTCACCAAGATCATGAATTATGTGAACTTTATTTTGTCTTTAGTTCATTGCTGCATGTAGAATAAGGTTATCGAAACACATTCTAAATAAATTTTTAGAAGAGATGGGTTCTTTTATAAAAAAGATAAATATTGTCTGATTTCCTCATCATAAATTTATTAAGAAGGTAAATAAAGGACGCGGTCGAATAATTTATTAAGAAAGGAC